ACTGATAAATCGAGTAAATAGCAAATTCAGCTGATGAAATAATGAAATATTCGTATATTAATCATGGCTCATCATTCGCATGCCTAATTTCTAATTTATCATTTAGAAAATTTCACGAGGATAATGATTGTTCAGTAAAATTGTCTGAGCTAAAAAATTACAAATTCAAATAAATTGATGTGAAAATCAATTTTATATAACATTAAACATTCAATGAATTTATTTTAAAATAATTTTATTTCCTTCATGCATATAATTTGATAGTTAAACCAGCTGTTTATTTCCCAAAAATGAATAATTAGAACGTTGAAGCAATAAGGAGAAAAAGGCAATACCGCGGTTTTGCAATAAAAGTGGAACAAAGAAAGGAGATTGAAGACGATAAATGAGGTCATTGTAATCAGTGCTACATTATTCTCCATTCCACCTCCGCTCTCAATTTATCTCATTTCATTTTTAAAATTTTATAAAAATTTAAATTTACATTGTATTGTAAAAAATATATGTATAATTATAATTAAATATGTACATATATATGTAAGTAATTTGTTCTTTTCATGGATCATCTCTGATATATGCTTTCAAGATTTCATTTCACATTTTAATATTCTGCTGGCATACCGGTCGAGAATCATTGGGGACTTTTTTTTTCGTACTACCGAGAGGAATAGGAATGTTGCAGAGAGCAGAGAGGAACGATCATTTTAAAAGGACATCAATTCCAGTTGGTGATAATAATCGTAATTTCGGGTCATTTCGATGTCTTTCATATCGATTTAATTTAATACAGACAATCTTACAATAATAATTCGTTATGAAATGATGGATATTTATAGCTTTTTGTATGATATTTAAAGTTAAATAAATAAGAAAATATTGTCACATTTTGTGTTATCCATTTCACTCAAAGTTTCAGTTTACACAATGTTTATTTTGAAATTTATTAAACTAAATGATTTTTTTGCTTTGCAGTAAGAGAAATACTATCATTTTTTGCAAAAAATAACACTTGCAAAATTTTATTACTTTTATTTTTAAAATATGATAATAATCAGTTTTATTTTAAGCATCTCTTTAAAATCAATGGAGAAAATTGAAATTTTTACTTCTATTTTTAAATATATATTTTTTCATTGAAATTTTTCAAATGAATATTTCATTGTATTGATAAAATGGAAAGAAAAAAAATTTCGTTCGATTGAGTAAAAGTTTCTTTTGATGTTCTTTTTCTAAAAAAAGAAAATTTAATTTTCATTCTAAAATTTGTTATGAACCCTCATTAGAATGCAAAAATTGAGAAATGCTGGTGGAACATATTATCATTGGAAGCATCGGACGAAAAAAATGTCGAAAAGTGTCGACGAATTGATGGACGGATGGATGGATTGATGGATGGATGGATGGATGGATGGATGGATGGATGGATGGATGGATGGATGGATGGACGGATGAATGGACGGATGGATGAATGGATGGATGGACGGATAGATGGACGGATGAATGGACGGATGGATGAACGGATGGTAGTATGATAGACTGCAGTTGTGAGTCTCGGGGGAAACTCATAAAACGGCCGTTATTGAACGGGTCGACAAGCAGCCAATAGAGCAAGCAAAAAATGAAAAAATGATAAAAATGAATCTTTATGGCAGTTTATTTCGAGATTTCCGAATACTCTGTATATGGTGAGGTCATTCAATCTTCCATTATAATTTCCTACTTCTTCTCATTATTACCATTACTCGTTTACTCATTCTTAAAATTATATCTGTCACTAACAGTTATTACTTGAACTCTTACCAAAATTTACTATTGTTATAATTGCTAATATTACTGCTTATAGTTACCGTAAATGTGCCCTTTCATCATTGAATGTCATTTTATTTTGTATCAAATCAGTATAATATGAATATTGCTGACAAAAAACTTCCTTCCTCTCTTTCATCCTTTCGCTTTTCTCACATAGCTGTTCATTTATTTAAATTTTAGAAAGAGAAAGAGAGAGAGATAGAGAGAGAGAAAACTAATTCTCTTTTTCCAAAAGCATAAACTTCCCTTCACTTCTACATTCACTGTTATGGTGCATTTTTTTTTTTTTGCCTTTTTTTGTTAGAGATTTTCTCTCTTATCCTTGAAATTTTCTCCGTTTAATTTCGAAAATTTCCCCTTTTCCCGTTTTTTTTTTTTTTCATTTTTTTTTTGTTTTGCATATACGTTTATGAGTTTTATGTCCTTGAAAATGCTCATTTTAGTGATGAGCAAACGCGCAAATGTCATCGTAATTGTTTGATAGTTTATAACACTTTCAAGATTTATTGTTAACTGAATACTTTTACTAAGCATTCATTTCCATTCATTTAATTAATGCTTCATAGGATTTACTGTGTGTTTCGAGACTAAATAATTTTCCATCCAGTTTAATTAATTAAGAAACAAATTTACGAAGATTTTGCTTTATGACGTAATGGTTGATGTTGATTATTCTGCCTTCGGCTTGACATTATATAGGCATTTTGATTTTTTGCAGCAGAAAATGTCACACATTCTTTCTTCATCGTTTTACGGATGATTTATGCCAACATTGAAAAAAAAATTTTTTTTTTTTTCGATTGGTGATATGCTATGTTCAATTAGCAGCAGTTAGCGGGTTATGTATTGCTATATGATTTTGATATTTGAAATCATTTTATTATACTTAATATAATTTAAAAGTTAGAAAAATTTTTGGTAATGCAATAAGATAATGTGATGATGATATGAATGAGCGCAGTTGACTGACTAATTACCGTATGTTGCATAAATTGTAAATGAGAACAATGGAAATGAAATATATTGGTGACTGACAACATTCGAAATTCCTTATCTATCATACAGTGAAATTTGATATTGGTAATAATTGAATTGTGAAGTCTGAACGGATCGGATCGTTGTTTTCTTTAGTCGGCTCAAATGCGCTTTTGTCGAATTGGCATGAAACATATGGAATGCTAATTGATAGTATAGTATATTCTGCTAGAAAGAATAGAAAATTAATATTTTTTTTCAATATCAATATGAGCTTGATCTTTCGTTAGAATAATTTTTATTAGTAGTCACTGACCTATTATCACATTAATAATTGATGAATAATCAATGAATGGAACATGACAAGCTGTTATGAGATATTTTTATACATATTGCTTTTATCTTTTTTTTTTCATTTATTTGTATCATACATTCAAAAATGTTACTAAACACTGCTAGTTTATTATATCATTTTCACGTATTTACGTGTTAAATACATTTCATGCGGGTCATACGTCCGTCTCATAAAGCTATGGAATTTCACTGATAAAACGAAGCCCATCCCAAATGCCTAATTATTCATTGTTTGGGTGGAATTATTTCAGAATGTTTTGTTTGATATCGAAATATAATCTTAAATAAATGTGGCTATTATTTCAGTGCTTATTTATTTGAATTTTTTTTTTGCCAATAGCTTAAGCCATTCATTATTGGATTAATTTTGGAAATAAAATTAGACAGAAAGCAAAATGGGGTGAATTTTTGTGTTTTCATAAGCTGAGACGATTCATGATAACAGCGACGCATTTGATTCAAGAAGTGCTGTAAAGGAAATGAAGAGTTCAAAAATAAAGGAAGTAGTGACCAGGTCATTGGAGGTGGACAATGACCAATTAAAAGCAATTATCAAAGTTGCTCCTCTTTATAAATTGATGAGATTGCTGAAGAACTTAAAATCATTCATCCCACGGTCAGTCATTTGGCACTTCACACTTCAATGTAAAATCTCGACGAATGATTGACCTCATGAAGTGATCGATAATCGAAAAAAAAAATCGCTGTTCTAAAATGTCTCTCTTATTTTGCGCCACAACGAACCATTTCTCATATTGCATTGTAACATAGAATGAAAATGGGTGAAATATGAAAGCACTTTGCAAAGCCGAATTTAGGACCAAAAACGGATACGGCCAC